CATTGAACTTGACCCCATATACATTCCACTACGGAGGAAACCCGGAAGTGAGGCAATCCATCGCAACGGACCCCAGCGTTTAAAAGCCAGGCGGGAAAACACACTGACGCTTCATCAGAGGCTGCACTGAGGATGTTACCAAGCATGGTAACGAAACGTCTGCGGAATAACTGAGCTTATTATTTCTCCAATGTAAATCATGCACTTTGATTTCCAGGTGTGGCTGTCTACACTGGAATGGATGCTAAAATTGCTTTGAATTATAAGAGCAAATCACAGAAACGCTCGTCTGTAGAAAAGTAAGTCTTTGTTCACTTGCTCTGAAATTTCCAGAGGAGAAAATGTGAGGATTCTTCTTTAAGTAAGGAAACTGAATTTAGAAAGTGGGTAGGTGACAGTCTTGGCATCTGGCCCATCATGTTTGTCATTATGCCAACTGAACCAATCTAGGAACTACAGTAATTGCATTTTATACACCGTCAACATCATGTGCTTGTGTAGTACATCTTATCTCAAGAAAACATTCCAAGACCTTTAAACTTCACTTAGTAGATTGATCAGATTTTGAAATTAGAGCATGCTTTATATGTTTAAATTTAAGTCAACAATAAGAAAAGTTAATTATTTACCCTATACATCTGAGTAAAACTAACCAAATGGATACCAACTATGGTTTGGCTTCTTTTGGGAACAATTCACAATGAATTAAGGAAGCCTGAAACAGGAGCATTTAAATAGAGGCTGTATCTGGAATATTTCTACCATCATTGAATGAGAACTGTGTTTTACAAAACATAACCATCCAAGGCCTCTGCAGTTTTGACCAACCACTAACCAATATTAGAAAGCAGGTGTTGAGCATGGAATGCTATGTTACCACGCTTCTTTATTAAAGAAGTACACAAGAACAGAGCTTCTTGAAGGCTTTGTAGGTATCTGAGACAGTGACCTCACCTCTCCACATTCCTACTATCTCCTGTCATATTTTTATTTTGAAACATCTTTCATACTCCTAACCCTGCTGTCACTAATCTCAATCTTAACTCTTCATTCACACCTTGATTACTACTCTCTTCCAAGTATTGTGAGATCAGAGATCAATTCACCCTTGCCTGGTGTAAATTTCAAGATTTGTTTGCTTTCAGAATTGAACTTTAAAAAATAATAGTTGCAAGGGCACACACGCATGTCCTCACTGTTACCCATTTGCTTCCATGTAGGTCCTTATTCTCTGTCTGATAGGTTTAGGAGTTAAAATGTGCCCTGACGCTTAAGCTTTTCAAATTTGCCTTTTATAACTGTCAAAAGAGCACCAGTCTGATACTCTGATGGAATCCACCTTATGTTTTTTTAAATTTCTGAAAAATAGGATAGCATTATATACAGATAAGGGGAGGAGGTGGCAAAGTGCTAATTTCACTGGACTGTTAATCCAGCAGCCTATTTTAATGTTTTTGAGGACATGGGGTGCAAATCCCACCATGGCAGCTGGTGAATTCAATGGAATTTAGAATTAAAAGTTGGTCTAATGGTGGCCGTTTAACCATCTGTCTAAAAACTGATCTGGTGCACTAATGTCCTTATTCTTAAAGTCACCTTTATACCAGAGGATTGCTCTGTCAGTAGACAGAGCTGACTGATGGTGGTTTTATCTGAGGGTCACCATGTCTCAAGTGAAGGGAGAATATGAAAAGGAGGCACCTTTTCGTGGTAACCGCAACCGGTATGAGAATTGAACCCACGCTGTTGGTGCCATTCTGCATTGCAAATCAGCCATCCAGCCAAATGAGCTAACCAAACCCTAGATTATGCCCGGTCCTAAATCCACACTAACGTTGTTGATGCTTAATTGCCCAATGAAGTGGTTCAGAAAACCAGTTCAAGTGTGACTAGGGATGGGCAACAAATTTTGGTCTTGCCAGTGATACTCATAACCTTTGCAGGAATTTTAAAAAGTATCATTAACTCCATTTCCTTGGAGATAGCAAGAACTGCATATGCTGGAGTCAGAGACAACGCAGCATGGAGCTGGAGGAACATAGAAGGCCAGGCAGCATCAGAGGAGCAGTTGACCCGAAACATCAACTTTCCTGCTCCTCTGATGCTGCCTGGCCTGCTGTGTTCCTCCAGCTCCATGCTGTGTTGTCTTGGATTCCAGCATCTGCAGTTCTTGTTATCTTGTATTGTGTTTCTTTTCTATAGAAGCTGTTATTTTGTTTCACTTCGTATAAACATTTATTTTACTTAAGGCATAAAATAATTAATAATCCAAACCTTATTGAAATATTAGTTGTTTTCTCATTACAAAAAGAAATCTATGAATAGAAATACTGATTTCCAAATTCTTAGCAACATAGCACGAACACCTAAACTGCCATTTTGAACATTCTCTACTGAGGGGCAGGAAAAGTAACTCCTGCTGAGTGCAATCAATAGCATTTACAAGTGAACTTTTTTTTTTAATCAGCCATACAGATCATACAACATTTTCTCAAAACAAAAGTTTGAGCAAGGTGTTGCCCCGTTATGTAACATCTTTTGTCATCTTTTCCAAATAATTAAAACTAATTTATGTCACATTGTTGGTAACAAGGTGTAGAGCTGGATGAACACAGCAGGCCAAGCAGC